GGACACCTATCAAAGTTTACCCTCCTCCCCCTCTTACCCTCCTTTCTTTTCACTCACCCACCATTAATATCTGTCCTCCCCACAGCCCTCCATCCTTCCAAACCCAGAGTGTTGCTTGCTGAAATGTGATTGTTTATTCCTTATTTCCACCTTCTGAAGTGTTTTTCTCCTTTATGAACGGGAGCTGAAATGCTGCACAACAACCCCAGACCCATGCATTATCTCTACTGCTTAATGCATACACCATATACATGAGGTGATTGCTACAGCTCCACCAGGTGAAATTGTGATGAGTGGAAAAAGCTGTGGGATGCCAAAATGTACGTTAGTATTAACCACTTGGAAAGTGTACTCTTCTTCAAGGATTATGATTCTTTGCATGTTTTATTGCTACTGTAAAGATGATTTCCTAAGGTAAACTGTTTCAGAATAGCCATTTCCCTAGAAATGCCACATTTCTTGAAATCTGAGGACTTCAAAATCAATTCCAAGTAATACTCATCTTCTTCCTAGAGGTGATGTTTTAAGAACTGGCCTTCCCTAACAGCCTACCTCACACATTTGGCGAGGGATCATGTTGCGTGACAGCAGGTGGAAGAGCTCCTGTGTGGTGCATGAGAGCTCCTCACACCATTACTGTATCAACAGGTGTCATTCATCTGAGCTTCCCACCAGGAAATGCACAAATGCAAAATACGTTTATATTGCCTAGCAGATAAATCAATTACAACCTACAGAGGCTGATACAGTGGTGAGAGATTTAAAAAATTAACTAAAAGTCAACAGCTCCTTCATGGCACTGAAGGCATAGCATGGGCAACACAAAGTACATTCCTGTGAAGCAATTGCCCATGACTCTGACATGCAGAGCACTTGGTAAGAAGACCAGCACTCCCCGAATGTTGACATCAGTATAAGAATCTCTTAGTGCTTAGCATTTTGAGGAAAAATTACATGTATCCACAGTGGGTGGCTCAGTATTTCACATCTACCCTCAAATTCACTGTTGGACTGGTAAAGCTTATTACCACCCTTGCATATACTGACATCTTCTCGAACTGTTGGAAAAATCAGAGTAAGGTAATTTCAGTGTTATCTACCAGTTCTCCAGCTCTGCTCTGTGTGTGTGTCATGGCATACCAAGAGTGTCTTTTACTACAAACCAAGTCCAAAAGAGAAGCATCCACTTCATCTGAAAGAACTGATAAATGAAACATAACATTCTATTTTTCTGCTAATAGACTCTGTAACTATCTTGTGTCTAAAAACAGATCATCACATTTTTGGGGGGGAAAAAAAAAAAAAAAAAGATAAATTTGGCTGTAGACAATCCATGCCTTGAAAATCTGCCAGAAATGCTTAAACAGCTGTTACAGCAAATGAGTTGTGCCATTTGCATGACAGCTCGATCATTCACAAATGTAGTTATACCATTCTGCATCATGTTTAAGTAAGCAAACTTGGTGTTCAGCAAATTATTGCCAACTCTATCAGCACTCTGTTTTCTGGGCTTAATAGGAAACCTGCTTGACGTCTGAACTCATAATTTCTATTAGGTTGCGTGAAGGCAGAAATTCATGTCTTGTGTAGTGGTGATAGAATTAGCACTGATGACTGAAAGCAGTCATATTGCCTGAGGTTGGCTGATTCTTGGTGATGATGTAGACGACCATTTGGCAATGTGTTCAACATGCTCTCTGCCCCCCCAAACCCAACAGAATAACATGGGCAAAGCTGGTGAGCTCAATACATGGAAATAGATCTTCCAAAAAGTAAAGTAATTTTTCAGTAGACATATTCACAGCCTCAGCTGTGGTTAAGCTTTGTTACTAGGCTGAATGTTATGTGGTGGGTTTTTTTTTTTTTTTTTTTAATTCTGAAAGCTTGATGCTTTTCCACAGCCAGGTAAAGCTGTCAGTGTTCTCCATAACAGATTATTTCTGATCCCATGTCACTCCTATGCTTGCTCTCGATAAGCATTAAAAAATTGATGCAGGTTAAAACTAACCAATTTGGCCAAAAAATCCCACCATCACTGTACCAAATACAGTCAGTATTTGGTCAGTACCTAGTACAATCAGCTGAGCAGCCACATCAGTATCAGTGCTAGCATGGACTGAGAGACATGAAGTAGATGGGACCAATCCCAATCACTTTTACTGGTTTGCCCTTGAAGTACTTCTACTAATCACTGGCAGAACGAGCACATTATTCTCAATAAGCTTTAATGTCACAGTCGCTGCATATGGATCTACAGTCAGGACTACATCATTATTATTATGGATGCTAAATATAATTAAGTATTTGTCAATTTATTTATTGAGTAGTGCACATTTTAAAATAATTTATAGGTGATTTAATAATGTTAAGTGATGAGGTGCACACGTATGAGCACTTTGCTTCATGCCATGAATACAATGAAAATAAATGGGTTTTCTTCTGAAGTACTGAAGCGTACATTGAATTCTTTGCCATTACATAAACTTTTTAAATACGCTCACCAAAAGACCATTTTAATATCTGCCAATATTGCACAAGGTAGGACACCTATCAAGAGTGAGAAGGATGTTTTATTGTGATTTGTCTGGTCATGTGTTTTGTTGATTTTCAAGGAATCTAGCTGGAGCTATACATTCACAGCGATGACTCGAGAAATATGGCTTGCACTTAGAGAGTGTTACTTGCTTAAGTTCACCATAACTTCCAGTTATGTTGGCTTGTTGCATCTATGCAGAGAGATTGCTCCTAATCACTGACAGCAGACACTGAAAGAACCATCTAAAATTTACCTATTGCTACTTTGATGCAGATTTCTGTCTGCAGGAAATGGTTAAATTTTTATTATGTCTCATTCTGGGGAATCTTGCTCACTGCTTGCCAATTCCCTCACTCAGTGTCTCATAGCTTCCCAGTAGCACATGTTGCACGTGCCATCAGTCTCAGACAGGTGAACTTCTTCAGAAATAAGGCAGTGCTGTCCTGATTATAATTACCTTCTTACCATTAGTAGACAGGTTTGATAGGGAAGTTGTAGCCTGTGGCTGCGAACAGTATGTTTTTTATAGACTTAACACACAAGCAGCCTCAAACTCTCATCCCTGTAACACCTTTAACTCTGAAAGTGTTTTGTGTCCTGATGTAACTGCTTGTGTTCATGGAATTGCATTATACCACTAAATCTGCAATTTAGTTCAGATTTCATCATTTTAGCATATTAACAACTGTTTTTAAGGAATAAGAGCGTGTTAAACAGTAAACAGTATGTAATGTAATAATAATATCATCATCATCATAATTGTGCAGTCTTCCGTGATTAGCTGTGATCATAGAGAAAGGGATATGGAATAAGGGATGGGAATTTTACTACTGAATTTCCAATAAATGCAATATTCCCAGACAGCAAAATCCAGGATGACAATCTATGTGAAATCCTCACCAAAAGCTTTTGATCTGTAGGAATTTGTACTACCCAGGCCTCTTCCATTGAACTGTTTTCACAAATACAAAAACTTAATAAACTTCCTTTGGTACATCTTACACTGCTTCCTACTAGTTTCAGAAGGGGGCATGGTACTTTTTTATTTTTTTACGGCCTATAGACAGTACAGTCAACTAATGAAATCTTCTGAGTGGCGTGCATAGAGATTTTAATAGAAGATGGAGATCAGGATATACAATAAACTGCAGAAGATCTATACAATCCTCATAAATCTCAAAAATAGCTTTCCTTTCTCTAAGAAGGGGCTCTATTCACATGCATATACACAAAATAGAAATAGCTTTTAAAATTAACTTTGAAAATCAATACTAAATTTAATTGACACTTCCCCTCACCTCTCCCAAGCCCCAGCCCGCCCCCCTCCTCCCCACCCCCCCCCAAAAAAAAAAAAAAAAAAGACACAAGGAATACTGAAATCAGAATAGTTGTGCTGTGATGAAACGTGTTGTACTTGGTAAGAATGTGTCGTTATGTAGACAGGGCAAGACTTCCTAACAAATTAATATTCTGGATCTGAAGGGTGGGTTTTTTTTTTTGGTATATCGAATCATGTCACAAGTACAGTGCTACTTAAGACCAAGACTATGTTCAGAGACTCGGTTGCTAATGCAGCACCTTCTCACTTAAAAATTTTAAAAAAGCACAAAAGGGATAAATTGACTTGTACAACTGCTTTAGGCAGCTAAACCGACTAAGATTAAGTGTAACCAGGCTGGCTCCTTCTCTAAGAGGTCAAACCCCTTTATTTTTATAGATGGTTACATTAAACATCTGGTCTTCAAGACACACCTTTGTAGACAGTACTAAGTTTCTATAACCTGAACAACTGAAGAAAAGAACCCTCTAGTTGATTGTTATCTCATGGCTTCATCTTGATCTTTCTTTCCCTTTAGAACTATCTTTTTTCCCAAACTGGCACTTTCAAGAACTTGCTATGAGCTAAAGAATTATCAGTCTTTAAAACAATTTAGCATGAAGTTTAAAGTAGCAAATAGTGCATAAGGAATTAACTTTGAGAGTGTCAAACATAAAAATTAATTGAGCCAAATAGAGAGTAGACAATATTGTGCCTTGCAGGTATATTTAATGCAGATGTGCATATTATGATGATTAGCTGTACAATTAAGTCTTCTACTGATCACCACAGTAACCTGCATCACAATCAAGAAATTAACACACATACCAGCTGCAGTCAAAAGGAAAGAAATCCTGTATATGAAGGTTTCCAATGTATATTGTAAAAAACCTTCCCTTGAAGATCCTTGCAAAAGTCCCTGGTATACACGTTAAATTGATGCAACAAAACTGCTGATAAAATTATGGTTTAATCTCCTTGCAGCAAAAAGGTCAAGTAGCATGAATAAAGCTCAAGCCTGCAAATTACTTACTACACTAATAGGTTACTCTTCAGACAATTTTCACCACAAATTTGTCCATAGGCTGCAAGTGTTTTTCTAATGCAAATGTAATTTATGAAAAAGAAAAAGGGTAGGCCACCAACTGAAAGAAAACATTTATTGAATCAAAGTCAATACTTTCCTTTTAATATCTACAAGCCAACACTGAACTGACTTTATTCAAGAATGAACACAATGTACAAAAAAAGTATGTTTGTTATAAAAATATGTCAATTATTTTTTCCTGGCTATTGAGCTGAAAACATTCTGACAAGTGCAAGATAGGTTTGGCAAGCAAATTTAAGCCGCTATTACCAATCACAAAGTTCAAATAATTTTGTAATCGTGTAATATTTAAGACTCATTGATAAAGTGGCATTGGAAATGTTGACCCCTAAAGGAAAATATATCACTGCACCGCCATGTGTTTATGCACCCAGGCAATTGAACATGTTGATCTTCTGTCATCATGAATCAGTACCTTTATCAGTGAAGACTATCCAACCTAATTCGAACTATTCAACCAGATAATTGACACCTACGGCTGGAGTACAACGTAGGGAAGGCAAACTATCCCCATAGCCCTCTGTTTTGTCTGTTTGTGAACTGAGAGAGGAGTAGATAGGGTCACACATGTTTAAATCAACCTGACAGCTGTTGCAATGTGAAATCAGAGAAAGGATGTACAAAGAATGAAGAATCATTTATGACAGCAATCTGTATTTATGAACACGTGTGTGCTTCCATATAAAAGTGGATCCAACTGGGCACAGTCATGCCTTATTTGTTTGGATGGGTTTTTTTCCCATAAAAATTTAACTCAACCAGGACTCAAATCATTGACTTCTCTCAAACCACCAAGGAGGAAAAAAAGGGACCATTTACAGAGATAATCTGAAAACAGTGCAATATTAAAATACAGTTTCACAACGTGTGAAAGAAACATGCTTTGGAACCTGAGCAAAAGGCGTTTTACTGACTTAGTAAAAAGTCACCCTGTATGTTGTTTTCATTGGCATCTGTTCTGCCAGATTAGTATGTTGCTCTTAGCAACTTTCATGGCCCCTAAATATTTAGTACACAGAAACTGCCAACTACTTAGAGCGGTCTACTAAACTTTTCAGCTAATATTGCAGGCAGTCTGACATGCTGCTACTGGAAATGACCATACAGCCTAAAATTAAGAAAAATTGTAGAAAGAAAACGAAGCAGCCAAACATGATGCTTTTCTTTCTTAAATATACTAAAGCGCTTCCACAACACTTAGATACGGTACTACACTGGCTTACAGTCTCAAGATCAGCTCTTTCAAAATAAATATACTGAACATTTACAACAAATGCCTCATGAATGCAAGCTCTCTCTTTATTATTTCAAGACCAGTTGGATAAAAACAAAAACTAAAATAAAGACATAACTCTGAAGCAGATAAGTTACAAGTCCTTTTTCAGAAACAGGCATGACTTGGTGCCACAGCAAAATTTTTCACCAGTCTGCAGAGTAAGCATTTTTTTTTTTTTTTTTCTAGCACCAAGCGGGCCACCATACAAAGCAACCTCACAAAGCATGCGGTCATCTACTCTGCTGATTTTGTATGAAATAATCATTTGTGCTTGCAGGTCCCAGACCTTTGAAAAATGGGTGTGAATAGTAGATGATTGAAGACATTAATAGAAACTCACTCATTTCTAAATTACTTGAGTGGAGAGGAGATTTAAAGACTAAAAAGGAACAGAATGTTGAACATTAGTATTTGTGTGGGATGAGGGAAGCTAAGGTTGGTGCTTTAATTTGCCTTAAAACAAAAAGCTAAAAACAATCCTAAACAGCTCTATATCCATGCTACTGGTAGAGGCCAGTGTGTGCATGCCACTGAAAGGCACGGTTGGACCAACTTGATAAATGGCATCATCAGAGCAGAACAGCAACTTTTCACTGGAATAATCACAAAGGGTGAACAATGAGCCATCACTTCTCTCATCATGAGCACAGAAAGCAGTCACCAAGGCAAAAGAGGGGACACAGGAAAGAAGATACAGGAACTCACATAAACCTGAAAGACAGAAAACACACGCTAAACTCAATTTTGTACATTCTGAGTGATCATTCTCCTACAGTAACATTGCTATTCATTGATTTAACACTACACATATTATGCTTAAATGAATGAAACTGTTACAAAAATGATACCCTCATCATATCATAAAATTCTTCTGAAATTTGCTATACAACTACCTTTACTTAATAGGATCTTAGGTATAAAACACACTTATGGACAGACTGATGCAGTCAGGTCAATCTCATGTTCGTTGTATAATAAAAATTAACATGCTTACATGATACTGAAATTTTTACTCAGAAATGCATTTTAAAATATGGCATCCTAAGACACAGCTATTTACTGGCAGCTAATTATGAAGTAGTATGATTGCTCTTTCTACTACTCTACAGTGCCTAAAAGGCAGAGTGCAATACTTACTGGAAAGGTTTCCCCAAGGTTATCCTGCCTTTGTATCTACAAGCTGCATCTGAACACTTGCAGACATGCCACCTCCATAGCCTCCCTTGGACTGCATTTGGTTCTGAATTGAGCTGACCTGGAGACAGAAGGGAAAGGGTGGCAGAGGAAACAAGAAAGGCAGTTGGTGAGCCGTGGTGTTGTCTTGCTTTCCGACGTAATTTCTTGTATAGATTTAGTTTTCAAGTGTTCTTTTACCATTAAAGCTACATTACTTTTGCATGAAGGCACGCGCAGCGTAGGCTCGCTAGAATTTTCACTTCTTGCAGGCAGCTCAGCAGGAGAGATGGAAGAATTGGTGCCGAAGCGCAAGTTTTTCCGCTCTCCCAAAGAAAACAGGCTGATTCAGGTTTTCACTGACCCACTTGATTACTCAAAACAGATTAATCAAATCTCTTACTGGTATCCAACTCCACTCCATCTGACAAGCTATAATTTATCTTGTTATATGGAAAATGTTTTTTGGCAAGTATGATAAACCAGAGAAGTTGATTACATAAAAAATATAATAGACAACTTATAAAATATCTGTGTAGTAATTGTGCTGAATGGCTAAATTAAGATAATAAAAAAATGACTTTATAAATCAAAAAGGCTTTTGGAAGGTTTTTTTATTTATGCATTTACGTAACAGCATACACTGTTTTCCTTAATTGCTATTATTCCTTTCAATGGCAGGGCATTTATTGTTTAAGTCATACACAATCTGTCAACTTCCCTGGAAACAGCTTATTTGAAGGTATTTTTAGCCTGATGCAAATAAATACATAAAGAACACCCCCCCACACCCCCCACAGACGTGCATATCCCTCTGTGGCTTTCATTGCCTTTATCAACAAAAAGGAAGGGAATCCATAGTTCTTTCCTGCTTGCGTTGCATAAGTCAAAATAATAATCCCTAATTGCCCACAGGAATACAGCTCCAACCTTAAAGGTTTGGCCTTTTTCCCTCTGCACCCCAGAGCTATATAGCAAGTACACAGTGAGCACAAAATAACATATTTCTTCAAGGCTACAGCTTCTGAACTTGAACTTGCAGCAAAGTCTATGCCTGCAGGGCACCACTTGCAATTATGACATGTATGCTCCTTCATAGAGACCTCAAAACACCACGAGAAAGCTGTATTGAAACATCGCTAGAGAAACATTTCCAAGTAGCTCGCGAGGTATTTTGCCTGTCTACAAAGACAAAAAAAGAATATTCTTTTCCACAGCAAAGCAAAATACATGCACACACACAAAATGAATCAGCACAACTCTTACACACTGCTTCACAAACCAATGTGAAAAAAAAGAGCCTGTTTTAGAAGCTTTGTTTTCAGCAGTGTGGCATATTGCAGTGCTGTGCGAAAGATCTGGTTTTTATCTATTTAAGCAGCACAATTAAAACTATTTTCTGCCTTGGTGCTTTGCTCAAATAAGTGATACAGGTGCAGCAAAGCAATATTATATGCACTTTTTTCTTCAGGCAAAAGTGTTCAGAGCCAATACTCTAGTGGATCTGACATCAGAGACTACAAACTCAGCAAGGAAGTGTGGAGAAACGCAATCCCGTTCATGGGGTGGTGTTTAAGAAGTTTCACATTTCACAAGCTGGTCATCTTCACTAAGCATTTTCTGTTGCTCATTGGAACAAAAGGAGTTTGAATTTAATCTCATTTTTTTTTTTCCTCAGAAAATAATTAATCTACATGTAAATGTATTCACAAGAGTGACTTGAGGATGGCATTAGTTTAACTCGAATGAACCCTGCCTCTAGTGAAAAAGAGCTTGAAAAACATCTCCAAGCCATGTCACCTTCCAGCCTGAGAACTTGCCCACATGACTAAAATTTTAGAGAACAGCAAATCAACACAAATTACAAGGCTAACATTTAAATTTTTACGAGTAATTCTTCTAAAGGTTAGAATAATTTTTCTGGTACTTGAGTCACACATATGGATGTTTGTGTTAGTGGGTAAGGAAGTACCAATCTAAAATGCAGAAGTTGTTGTACCTAAAGCAAAGAGAATGCAGCAAATTAAACTTGATCACATTAACAGTTCCGTGGCTACTTTGTACATGAAAATTTATATAGGAGACATACAATGTTAAAACCACTGAGCAAAAAGCAGGTCTAACAATTGTAGGCTTATAAGGTGGTATTCTTTCTGAGGCATCCTCCTTTTGAGGCAGTCTGAGCTACAAGAACAAGCACCATGAAATGCATTTTTTTTTTCTTTCCCAAAGATGCCATTGCCTGCCTTTGATAATAAAACACAGCAAGGCTCTTCTCTCTTAAGTCTAACTTAGATAGGATGAGGATTTCAAGATTTGGGAAGGGAAGAGGATTTTACCAATTAAAGATCATACAATCTGTTGTGCTGCTTATCTATCCCATTAATTTCTTTCAGTCCCTTCCTTTTAGAATTAGGAAATAGCACAGATGGTCCTTGAGAAAGAAAACAAGGGAAAACTAAGAAAAGGACGGAATTCATGAAATCAAAGGCTAAACTGAGAAATATGAAGCAGAAGAAAGTGAGAGATTTCACCTTGGAATATAAAGGTAAAATAAGAAAGAAAGCAATGGGAATGAGGAAGAAACAGTGCACAGAGGGCTCATACTGTCTAAGTACACTTTTGACAAAGGAGCAAGGCACTCTACAGAGAGGGCAAACAAAAAAGCAAAATATTTCAGTCGTCAGAAAACTACTATACTCAGAATCATAAGGATATATAATGAAGAACAATGCCGATGAAAAAAGGCACAGAGCATATAGTGGATGAATAACCAAATTTATATGGGAAAATCTAATGAAACTGCGGGAGGTTCTGTGAAGACATGCAGAAGAGAGAATACACAAGCAGGTTCTCAAAGGAGTACAATGTCCATACTATAACAGAAATTAAGCAACAGAAAAACATGAAACGTAGAGGTTAACACTGTAATCTTGGAATTTACACTGTGAAGAATGAACAAGGACACAGGATTCAATATTAGCACAGTAAGTCACCACAGAAGAGGCAGGAAAATATGCAGTGTGAAAAAGTAGAGTTTTGAGCTTCTGAAGAGAGAGAGGAAAAAAAGGATTGCTTTTTGCATACAGATTCTCTCTATCTGAGATCAGAAAGATCACCCTGGCCACTGATAAAGCACATTATCCATATGAAAAACAAGTTAGGGAAGGAGCCAGTTATGAGCAGTCAAAATGAAAAAGTCTACCTAGGGAGACAATAATCATTACCTACTATTTGGAGATGAATTGGGTATTACACAAGACAAAGGTGAGGGCAAGGTGGGGAAGGTCTGAGGTGAAAAAGCAAAGCTTCAGGCTGTCACCACAAACCCCACATGATGCAGCTCAGCTGTGAGAATGAGGAAGGTTCACACAGGAGGGACAGCAAACATTTAAAAAGCCAAAAGCCACGCTTTTAAAAAAAATAAAACTGCTCACTTTCTTATTTTATTGTTTCAAATTATAATAGCTTTAAGTATTAATAGAATATATTGCTTTAAATAAGCAATTAGATTTAAGTGAATTCTATCAAGTTGATGCTGTGTTTGTCCATTTAGCTTGCTTATAGATGTTTTAGTACAAATCACTTCCAATCTATTATGTTGTTTCTGGGACAATGTAGTATAGTGTTTGTCCTGTCAAATTTTCTCTCTTTGTCCTTCCCCAATACGTACCAAGTTACAAAAGTTTTCGTCTCATCTCAATATGCTGTAAACTATTTGAAACTACAAGTGACCTCGCTTGCCTACATTAAAACCATGTTTTTCTTTTAGAGCTCTGCTCTCTATTCTGACACCTCTGACAGAAGTTTTTTCTTTGTCAAGAAGTATTTTTCATCATTTTAATTTCAAAACATTTTTTTCCTTTAAAGAGGATTATTAAGGTCAAGAAGTATTTTCCATCATTATCGACACACAATCCTTTTCTAGATCGCGTATTACTGACCTTATAAACAGATTTCACATAAATATGGAGCTGTACAAAAAAAATCTATTCTCATAAGGTGATTGTCAGTATCTATCTTAGCTTCTGTTCTTCACTTTCAGAGAGCCTGAAATATTTATCATTTCTAAATCTACAGGAAGCCACAAAACCTTGCCTGTGACATTGATGCTTGCTCTGGAAGTAATTCACACTGCAAATAGGGCTACAGAATATAGAAAAACCTCAACAAGGACAGCCAAAAATATTTGCAGGCACCATAAACCAAGGTAAGTTATAGTTTGAAATGAATTATATTTAAAATAGCTTAAAGCATTTAAAGTAAGAAATCTAGTCAATTATAAGACAATTAAAGTTTTCTCTAAAACACTCTAGTGTATTTTCAAATATACCTCTATTCTAGTTCATACGTGACATCAGAATGAATTTTTAAAAGTATTCTGAACATAACCTGTGTAGAATTTTAGAACAATTTATACATCAACTTCTATGTACTGTCAGTAAATATAGGAATTTAAAAAAATGATACTCCATAATCTTGAATGCAAGTGTTTAGGGCTTCGAAATAAGATGCTAGCAGGTTATTCCTTAGTTTTATAGAGATACTTTCTTATAGTTGAAAGACTCATTGCATCAGATAAAATATACATATACAGTGTTCCTCTATTCTTTCTAAGATTAAATATTCTTCACTGCTCATGCATACCGAATTCATTCCACTGAATAGGTCTCCTGATCCTACATGAGCTGTGTGAACAAAGTTCATCGGCTCCCCAATCATGCTTCGGTCAATCCGCCGTCGTCTTTTCTGAAAGGAAGGTAAAGAAACCATCTAACTGAGAGTCATTGAAAAGGCAAAAACGATCTGTGTCATAAATGTAAAAGTTAGCTGTCCATAGGATATTTCATACACAGTAAGCTATTTTCAGAGTCAGAGTCCAAATTCCCACATTAGCCAAGACACTGGTAATAACGTCCTTTGTTTTTACTCGGAGGATCTATAGCACATCATTAGACCAGCACTGATACCACTCCTAACATGTAGGTGAACAAAACATTTGTAAATAAGTTTACTATATTCCATGGTTTATTAAGCAATATTTGCAATGTTTCATACAGTGACTTCTGCCTATATTTGTATTTAAATCATGATGAAACAGATGAAATTTGAGGTTTAGTCATTCAAAACAAGAATTAAAGATCAAAGAGCATTAGTATAGTCTATGAAACTGCTAACTTACAGAATTTCTGATTTGCATGTGATGGAAACTTATGTCACTATTTGTAATATACTTCATGGTGATGTTCAGAACAGTGCATTGACTTTGATGAGAGTTAGTCACAGACATATCTTTACTGAACCCCATGTACACAGCTTCCAGTCTGTGTGGTTGCAGAGTGTGAGCTGAAGGGGTGCAGTACGATAGTAAGGCAGGATGACAGATTAGGGACCCCAGTTTGTGTGCCATGAAACTGAAGGCAAGAATGCTTAAACTCTGCCTCCCCTTTCTCAGAGTCACAGCTTAATTTTTTATTAATGTAATAACATACAAATAAAAAATTTGAGGCAGTGAGGACATCCTCTAATTACAGCTGCTTTAGTTGCCTGCCTCCAGCTAAGCATTGCATCTAAAGGAATAAAACAAGAAAACCCTATCCTCATTTCTTAGGCCAGAGCCAGGGAGCTTAAACAGAGCATGCCATGCAGTGTGCAGTCGCCATGTGCCTGTATCCTGTATCTGAAAAAAAACAATAGCCATGAAGCATTTTATGAGTATCTCAATTTGAGGTACGTCATACAAAATACAGTGTATTTAATAGTTAAGAAACTACTTGAGGCCAATTAAAAACTTTCCATCATTTTTTCCCATAATTTCCATGTCCACCGAGTCTCATTTTTAAAGGGATCTCCATTTCTAAACTACAAGATCATAAAACCACCCAGAGTTGAGACACAGAAGTACATGCCTCACAAGTGGGATAGCTGCTACTGAAACACAGCTACAGATTAAACCTTTATGAATCAGAGCCCACAACTATGAGAATACATCATGATGTTTAGCCAGCAAATACCAAACACATTTAATGTTTTCCTGGACCTTGTCCCTATTACTAAAAACAGATTTCAGTAGGTTTCAGTACCTTACAGTGTCATATTAATAGCTGGTGTGAGGAGAAATCCATAAAACGCTCCCATAGAAGTTGCAAAACAAAATGACCCAATCTATGTCAAACCTAATAGTGAATTCTCTACTCCCAACAAATTTGACAAGATCAACAAAATAAAATAATCATAGCTATAAAAACGTCTTCATTTTGTTTGAGGCTTTCACAGAGAAAATGTTTACGGAAATTAACTGAAATGTCTTGATTACAGAAAACATCAGTAGAGTTCACAAACCCATAAATAGCCACAACAGAATCTACTACCATACCCCAACAATGCATTACTATTGCAATCTGGGTATTGAGCTCACTTATACATACAGCAAACAACTTCTTAAGTTATGCATGACATCAGCTAGTAAAGCATATGCGAAACCTGGGGGGAGAGAGGCCACACCAGGTTTATGCTTCCCCTGGAGAACTGCTCATCTGACATGGTCAGGACAAGCAGCATCTCCAACAGGTGTGATGATTATTTTAAATGCACATTGCTGTATTTACACAATACAGTACTGTAATATTCTGTGACTCCAACACAGAAAGAAGCTCTAGGGAGCTGTATGAAACACACTGCTCCAATTAAAACACTTAAAATTGTTTCAGGTCCGCAGTAGTTGCCCCTGTCCCCCTTTTAAAGCCAGAGTCAGATTCATTTATATATCTAAACAACACATCCATGATTTCTTGGTTTTAGTAGAGTTTTGAAATGCAGGGTTTTGATGCAGAGAAAATTTAGACATTCTTGAAGTTTTTGGATTTTTTTTTTTTTTTTTTTGCAAGCAATCAAACTCTTTCTTCGGGCAACCCAACTTATTCCCCTCCTTTACTTGTTGCTAAGATCACTGGCATGCCAGTAACAGAATCGGAGTGCTGGATCTTGTGAAGGACTGTAAATGATTCTTCACTAATCATCAGCTATTCAATCAGTAACCACTAGTTAAAGTGAATCGCCATCAAATCCTGTCTCTTATCTTAAGGGAGTTTCTTATCAGAGCCCATCAGCCAGTTAAACTCTGACATGTGCCCACTGATGTGATCTCCTTGAAGCAATGGAACAGTGTTTAAATGTGGTCTTAACATAGCAGAGCAAAGTAGTTCACTCTGAAAGCAAATCAAATGTTTTTTTGCTGCAGCAGCACTCAGTTTTCATGTACATTAGTGTTTTAGCTTGGATCCTGAACATACTTTCGAAGCAACTTTGCCAGTCCCTGTTTACCATGCTTCGATTTTACTTTCAGGGTAATCTTGGAGTGTACAAATTACACTTCTTTTGGGTGAAGCTGAACTGGAAGACTAGCTGATGCACTCCCATTGCTAATGGACATTGAGTCCAGAGGACCAGGTGAGCCAGTCTCTATACCACAAAAGACAAGTAATGCACATCATGGTTCCCCAACACTAACTGTTCTGCTCTACTACACGGCTACTCCTACTAGGATGTGCCATTTCTGTAGACACAGACTTAGCCAGAAACAAAATAACCAAGTAGTACAGATGAAGGGACAATGGGGAGCGCTGTAAAAAGTCACATCTTTTTGAGGAATATAACACAGGAGACAGGAATAGGGGAGCGTGCCTGGAAAGGTTACAAAGCTTTTACAGAGGGCACCATAAACATTAGCTTTGCCAGGATTTCATTGTGAAATTGTATTTTCTGAGGCCCTGTATCCGTAAGAATACATGCAATACCATTGTTCTATAACCAATAAGAATTAATACACAGACTAATTCTTCAGCAAATTTAGTATATTTAATTTGAAAGAAGCTGAGACGCAGCACATTCATCTCGTAAGAAATGTACAATTATGTTAATTTCCTTCTGTGTATCACTTGTGTCTTTCCATCCTTGTTCCTAATCCAAGTCATGTGTCTGAGCTGACAGAGCCCAGCGAAAATTAATTCCTGCTAGCCTTCACCCAAGCCCCAAACTCCACTTGATAACGTATCATAAATAATTAGCCTTAGAATATATATACACCACTAACCATTGTAATGAGATCTGACTATAAAGGTGATCTATATAACAACTCCATGTTTTTTATGCTAGTGCAAAGAACTTCAACATACATGCACCTGAGTATTTGTATCATCTAAAGGTTTGGTTTAAAGCTATTTCTGATGGAACACGTACATCCCAACTCTGGCAGCCTAACTGCAATGAGACCTTATGTCCTGTATCGGTGTTTTTTGTGGATGTTTTCTTCGCAGGGGGGAAGTAGAAGAAAGCACACATTATGATTAGCTAAATTGTCTGTGATCTTTATTGCTAGTTTGGATAAAGTCACTGAAACATTTGGAATCAATAGGCAAAAAAATTTTGAAGTCTGAATTGAAGTATTTTATTTTTTTTTTACCCCTTTGCCTTGGCCCCAGCACTTTGCCCTTTTCTAAGAGGGGAAGGGGTGGCAAGGAGCACAACAGAGGTAAGATGAGAGGAAAAGACCTGTAAAGGGATCCTGGAAATAGAACATGAAATGTCATAATTTAATGGCTTTACTCAGTTTGCTCACTTGACAAAAATCTGCAGAATCAGGATTGCAAAGTACACACCAGGTAGTCTTTACACCACGAAAATAATCTTTAAACAGAACAGAAGAGATGCAGGTAGGATATTACAAGTTTGAGAGGAATGGAAGCAGTGTGAGGACCTATCTCAGAAGCTTTGCTTTGAACATATACCAGGTGCAATGAAACTGGATCACATTTCAGTTACCATAGTAATGAAGTAAAGAACTGATGTCTCTTCTATTCTTAATCTGTGAGTGATGCTTTGCACCCACACAGGGTAGCATCTCTTTTGAATTACAAGATCAGAATTCAGAAAGCCACCACCAATTGTATCACAAAAATTATTTTAAACTTGCAAGTTTCTTAGAAGTTTCAATAAACAGTTTTAAACTTATGTTTAAAAAAATTAAACTAATTATACCATGTTTTCAACCTGCCCATCAGCAAAACCACGAGCATTTTACTGAAACTCTTTTTTCATAGTTCAAAAAACTACTTATTGCAAGAAATTAAAAATTCTAATTTGTTTCCTCAAGCAAATAATTGCCCCTGATGGGTCCAGAGGCATGTAAAATTTCCTTTTTATTCCTCTCCATTTTTTGGCTTGCAGAGGAGAAGTGATCTTTCTTTAATATCTCCAAATTTTCTCCAGAGGCTAGGCTGCACTTCTGTAGCTCAAGCCACTTCATAGTGGTGGCAGGAGTTCTGAATTAGACAAGTTCTCTGCCTGTATATATACATATAAAAACAGTCCTGGAAATTTTTCTCCCTTGCATGGTTATGAATCCCTCTCTGCTCTCCATGACAGACCCTCTCAGAAAAAGACAAGACATGCAGAGTAACATCAAGGTCTCAAATATATAAAAAAATATTTGACTGATGTCACTCAGATCCTAACAGGCTGATAATTAATTTTCTGGAAGCTGCTGACAGTAGATGTTGCAAGTAAAGTCCAACAATATCATACAAAGGTACCAACCTACATATGCTGAGGAACAAAAGCAAACTCTTCTGTTTAACTGGCAGAAAAGCATGTTCTGCTAAACTTACACCAGATTTTTTGAGATAGCTGCTACATATGTATTTCAAATCCAAGTCTGAGTGAAATACAAATGACACAACACTGTGAAGGAC